AATTTGGCGCCAAGAACACCGGACATGAAAGGGGAATGCTTATTTACTCAAAGAGGGAGACCGATCTCGGCATATGAAGATTGCGAAGTGGATGACGTTCAAAGAATTCAGGGGCCGCGGACAGGGCTCAAGATATGCATCGGTGATAGACGAGGATGCAGATGCAGTATATAATAGGTTGATCTCGTCTTCATATACTTTTTCCTCACACATTCTTTATATCAGAAGTATCTGTAGATTCATTGAAGCTTGCCGCTGGGTCGGCTTTTTACATTCATTCAATACTCATTTATCCATTTCTCAAGCCTTTGAAGGCCTCCTTGCTTCTTCTCACAAGCCGACTCTACCAAGCCATTTCTCTCTTCTGATTTGAAAAACCACTCACCATGTACTCCAAAATCCTGGGCTCAACAGCCCTCATTGGGCTTGCCCAAATCGCCACGGCAGCCACTACAACTGGAGCCTACACCGATGCAAACACTGGCATCGAGTTTCAACGATACTCGGACACCACGATAGGATACAGCTTTGGTATTGCGGTCCCCCAGAGCCCAACAGCTGATTTCATTGGTCAATTGGTGGTTCCTCTCAAATCTGGTGCAGGTTGGGGTGCGCTTTCCATGGGCGCCGGCATGACTAATAAACTCCTCTTTGTTGCGTGGCCCAACGGCGAAGAGATTCAGTCCAGTTTCCGATATGCCACCGGTTACTCCAACCCCGATGTGTACACAAGTTCGAAAGTTGCGGCTCTGCCAATTGCTAATGGTACATTTATCAACAGCACACACTTGTCCTACACTTTCGTTTGCCAATCCTGTGTGATCGGAGGCTCGACAACTTTCAATGCTTCAAGTGTACTCGCCACTATCGGTTATGCCGTATCAAGTTCCACTCCCACCAATCCATCTAACTCGGGAAGTGCTTTGTCATACCATGATGTCGGTGCAAACATCTACAACCTCAACTTGACAGCTGCTAGATCTGCGCAATACTCTACATGGGCTTCATGGGCATCCGCTGCTCCATCTGGTGGAAACTCAACTAGTCCGGGAACTGGTAGTGGCTCAAATAGCACAGTTCCGGCTCCCACTACACTCAACTCTACTTACGATGTTATTGTCGTTGGTGGTGGTGCTTCGGGTATCATTGTTGCTGAGCGTATTGCTGAGAGTGGTGTCAGTGTCCTCCTCCTTGAGCGTGGTCCCGCCAACACAGTTGCCCTCGGCTCCACTCAAGGCCTCTCTTGGAACTCTACTCTTACTCCCTATGATGTGCCCGCTCTTGGCAGTAGTCTTGCGACCATCTCGGGAACTAAGTTCTGTTCTGATACTGCATCTACTGCTGGCTGTCTTCTTGGAGGTTCGAGTTCCATCAATGGCCTCAACTTCATTCACCCCGCTGCTCATGACTTTGAGAATTGGCCAACTGGATGGGATTGGGATTCTGTCTCCGATGCAGCTGACCGTCTCTACTCTCGTAATCCTGGTACCACCCAGCCTTCGGCTGATGGAAAACACTACGATGACTTGGCATACACTACCTGGTCAGCATATCTTGGACAACAAGGTTGGAGTGAGGTCGACTCTATTGAGAGTCCCAACGAGAAACATGCAGTCTTCTCTCGTCCTGCTTGGAGTATCTCCAATCATCTCCGAGCAGGTCCCGCTAGAACCTACATGCCGTTCGCCGAGCAGCTTGATAATTTTGAATTGAAGCTCGAATCTAGCGTCATCCAGGTTTTACGAAATGGAAGCACAATCACCGGTGTTTTGACTCAGGCTACAGATGGTTCCCGTCAAATCATCAATCTCAAGGCCAACGGTAAAGTTGTCCTCGCCTCAGGCGCTTTATCGACTCCCCGTATCCTCTGGAACTCTGGCATTGGTCGATCTGACGCGCTCAACATTGTTAAAACCGGCACATCTGGTGTCTCTCTGCCAGACTCGTCCGATTGGATTGACCTTCCTGTTGGCCACAATTTGAAGGACCATGCTCAAGTGCCTTTGCAGTTTACTACTTCACCTGCCTTCAAAGCTTTTGATTTCACCGGACTCGCGACATCGCCAGTTGCTACCGACTTGGATTTGTACAAGCAAGGCTCCGGAACTTTAACACAGGCAGCTCAGCGAATGCACTTGTGGACCTCAATCAATGGTACTGACGGTGTAGCTCGCTACCTCCAAGGCACCGTTAGCGCGATGGCTGATGATACTATCACTATTAAAGTCTTCCTCACTCATGGTACTACCAGTACTGGTGAGCTTGGAATCTCGGCATCTGGCAGTACCGTCCTTAATACCAAGCCATGGTTGCAAACAACTGAAGATATGGCTGTCTATTCGGAATTCATTCAGTTCTTCTTGAACATGGTGTCTAGCAATTCCTCAAACGCGGCAGGAAACAGCAGCTACTCTCTCAGCTACAAGACTTCAGGAGCAACCCCCTCAAGCATCATTTCGTCTTCCCTTGTCAGTGGTGATCACTGGGTTGGAACTGCGAAAATGGGCACGGATGACGGACGTACCAATGGTACCGCCGTTGTCGACTTGAATACCAAGGTATACGGTACCGATAACCTTTTCGTCGTTGATGCCTCCATTCACCCCGATCTACCAACTGGTAACACCCAGGCTATCATCATGGTTGTTGCTGAGCAGGCTGCTACTAAGATTGCAGCTTACGACGTCGCCACCGGATCCGGTAGTACTACAAGCACCCCTACTGCTATCGTTGCACCCAGTGCCGGCAGTGCTGATTCAGCAGCCAAAGCTGGCGATGATGATGAAAGCTGTGAGGCTTAGATCTGTGGGATGGATTCTCCTTTTATCTTTCTTTGTAAATAGTTTCAAATTGTAGAATATAGACACCCAATGTACATTGCACATACACAATTATCCTCCTTGCTCTTTGTAAACATTCCAAAGAAGATATTTGATCAGTAGGAAAAGTGTATCCTGGTGCCGTAGCTATGATATGGGAAGCAGAACGTGAATTCTGCTTCAAGACGTGAATGCTGCATGGGCGTTGTGGCTAGGTAACTACCAGATGCTAATGTCCGTAGAGACGGCACGTCAGCAAGAATGATCCTCATAAATGACACTTTTGATTTGCGATTGTCAGTTTGATACTCGATCCTCTTAGATCATGGCTTCGACTACACGCCTCTCGAAACATTTGCTCGAGTGCTGAAGAACCCAGTGAAATTCCTGTGGTGTTTGCAGGAACGGAGAACGATTAACAATCTCGGACCTGAAGTCATGATTACAGATCAACACACAATACACCACCAGCAAGAGCCAATATTTCATAGCAATCTGTTGATGAACAATAATTCTAGCTTGATAAGCATTACCTAGATGCGAGAAACGACACCTTCCTTTTCTGACATAGACAATCAGTTTACGATAGTTGCATCGGGATTTTCGGAGATCCCAAAATCAAAATTGTGATTACATAACAGCGCATGACTTGCACATGACCAGAGAGAGCAAACACCTCTCTGTTGCACGTCTACAAAATGGAAGATTTCAAAATCTGAACGAGGTCAGATTTTTAACTTTTTAAAATTTTAAACCGACCTCGTCCTTCAATTGCAGCAACTCCGACACGTACGGTGCTTTTGAAATATTCGTCATAATTCAGCCACATAATATATCAATAACTTTAGGGTTAATCAATGATAATTCATATGGCCTTAACGTATTGTCTATTTGAATTGATAATTGAAGCTGTTTTAATATATTACATTGTGATTTGAAGGGATTTCTGGTGTGTCGAGGTCGGTGGTGATGGAGTGAGTGGCTTGAAAACCTGTGGCTGGTGATGAACGTGGACACCCGACCCGACCTGCCCATCACAGCCTTCTTCAACTACCCTGCAATAAACATACAAGGGCTACAATGTAACACTTCAAACGTTTCAGGACCAGGCACCGCCAAATTAGATGGACGACATCTCATCTATTATTTTGTTTTAAATCAACTGGATACTGAAACTCTGAACCGTTCCTACGTGGGGCGTCATTAACGTCCCGTGATATGGCGATATCAATGTCGTGATCGATTTGTAGTCAGAAGTCTGACCGCTTCCTTTGAAATCAAGATTCAAAGGAAACTTTATACTACTTTGTACGGAATACCCGTTATCATTATCGAGATCTGAATTGATCACGCCTTAAACCTTCTCGATGGCGAGTGTCGTTGCAACTAAACTCTGGGGAACGAAACGTCAGCGCATACGTTTTACCAATCAGGGGTATAGGGACTTGCGGCTCCAGTATAGGGGAAAATATCAATGCATCAAAGACATTTGATCAACGAATGGCGAGTCGGATGGGCAGATATGTATGGAATGAATATCGGTACTTGTTTTCTAGAAATGATGCGGTATTGCATTCCCCACACATGTGTTGATTCGATCCAACTCGATCGTCAGCTCCTGCCCCGCAATAAAGTATCCCATTGACCTTGTTCCTGGGAATGAAACTTCTGGAATGGCGGTGGAAAAGCTATTTCGAAGCTTCCATTCTAAATTGAGTCAAAAGATCCCCGTGAAATTGCAACGGTGAGCTCAAAGGAACTTCAATGTCATGCTTTTGGTACGGGGTGGAGGACCAGGTATCCGCAGACTAGGTAGGTTTCTAAGTAGGTATCTACATGTTGATTACGCGCGATTGATTGCAGTGCGTGCTTGGATTATGATATCAGACGAAGCAAGCGTATGTGGGGTTTGTAATGCCATTTGAAGTTTCAGGCTTACTCATTCTTTAATTTGTTGATTTCAAAGTTTATAAACGCAAGATGGTGTGCTTGATGGGATCGATGGTGCCATGTCACTCGGGTTCGTTCTTATACAGGTAGATTCCTAAGTAGGATCTTACTTCTTCATACCACTTCCAAATGATCACCATTCCCTGAATTTCTAGAATACACAGTAATATTCGTTTATCGAGCAAAAATCTTAGTCAAATTATTTCCACGTTTAATGCTGTCTTTCTCAAAATGGCTCCTTCATTAGAAGTTGGTCTTGAACAAGCTCCTGCTCCTCTTCCCACTAAAGCTACATCGACCACTAAGCCGGCGCTATCTTATACACCAGGTCGCACTATAGTCGAGAAACACGAGACCTATGAGTATGATGATCTCCGACCTTCTTTCCCAGATAAGAAATGGCCAGCGTTAGAGGAAGTCCCATACACAGACAAAGGACTTTTGGGTTCAGATACCTTCAAAGACCTCCTAGCAACCGCTACTGATGCATTTGATTACGTCCCTAAGATTGGTACCGAAATCCACGGGGTTGATCTCGCCAACCTTACTGATGCTGCTAAAAACGATCTTGCTCGACTCATCTCCATCCGTGGGGTCGTCTTTTTCCGCAATCAAAAGAACTTTGACATCGAAGCACAACGCAAATTGGGTTCTTATTTCGGAACACTGCATAAGCATGCAACTACTTCTGTGCCTAAACGCGGAGATCTAGACGACGTCCATGTCGTATACACGGACGAGAAATCGAAAGACCAAAGAGCACTTTTCACACCTACATTTCTCTGGCATTCAGACGTAACATACGAAATTCAACCACCCTCCTACACGTCACTCAAAGTCCTCACCGGACCACCTCGCGGCGGTGGCGGCGACACGCTATGGTCTTCCCAATACGCAGCCTATGATGCGCTTTCCGCGCCCATGCAAAAATATCTTGAATCCCTCACTGCGCTACACACCTCTCATCTCCAAGCCGAAGGCTCGCGAGCACTCGGCCGACCCGTTCGACGCGATCCCATCATCACTGAACACCCACTCATCCGCTCACACCCTGTTACGGGCTGGAAATCACTTTTCTTCAACCCCGGTTTCGTGACCAAGATTGTCGGAATCCCTAAAGTAGAAAGCGATGTGATTCTCGCCTATCTGAATGAAGTTGTGTCGACGACGCAGGAACTGCACGTTAGGTTCCAATGGGGAAAGGATGATGTGGCATTTTGAGATAACAGAATTTCAAATCATACTGCTTCGTATGGATTCGCGCCACATAGGAGACATGCCGTCAGAGTGTGTTGTCATGGGGAGAAACCCGTTTTGGAGAAGGACGCAAGGAGTCAGGAAGAGGAGCTAGGGGAGAAGTATGGATTGCCGGTTGTGAATAAAGATGGGAGTGGCCAGAGCAATTATAATGATTAGGAATTGACGGATGGAGAACGTGTATATAGATATTTGCATTGGGCATGGAGTTTGGGAACTGGGATAGGGGGTTAGGGATGAGGAGTTTCTGCAGCGTGGAGTGGCATATGCATGGTAGCTTGCTGCGTTTTTAGCGTTGCCATTTGAATTATTTGATAGCGGATCAGAATTTATATGAATTCTCATATACAAGAATAAACATAACAATTAACCTACATCATTCCAAATTTTAATATTTGAATATCAGGCAACGACTTTTAAATATGCTCCAAATATAGACCACGGTCATGGACTTAGGCCTACAGGCAACGATTTACCAGTCACTTTACTGCATGCAAACCTCCATTCTCACAAGTTTAAGACATTAAATCCAATTCGAAGATAGTACATTAGGTTTCATTTTTGGTATCTCCAGTCAATTCATACGTTGCTTTACATTGCTTTTCTCGTGCAAATGCCGACATGAATGCTACGCGGAAAAACGAGCACATAGACCTCGCAACCCAAACTCCCAGACGCCACCTGAATCAATTTCTAATCTCTCTTGGAACAGATTCTCCGCGGCCTACCCAACGTTATATACACCCATTCTTTAATAAACACCTCCCCTCCCCCTCACACTGGCCCCATTAACACTGCCCCCAAACCCTGTCGGCGTTTCGCCCCTCCTATCCCTATCTCCAGGGCCCGTGAAACTTCCAAGTTGCAACGCTTGAATACTCTCTCTACTCGCGCCAATCTTCCCAGCCACCTGTAAGATACTCTGCTCAAATTCTACAAGTGCCAATCCCAACTCTTGGACCGGGTTTTCTTGTTGATACGCTCTTCCGTTTCTGCGCGCTAGTAAGGCTTGAGTTTGTTGCGCCGTGCTTTGTTCTAGGCTCCTTAGATGCGCTTCTAGTTCAGTGAAATTGTTCTGATACTTCTTGAGCGTCGCGTCTAGTTCATCGGCGGTAGCGGAGAAAAACGACACCAAATCTTGGGCATCAGTGTCATTGGCTGCACTATTGGGATTGTTTGTAGATTTAGTAGCCCAGATGCCAGGGGTCTGGTATTGAGTTGGCAATTTCTGATTATCGATTGCGCGGAAACTTAGAGTGGCATTGTCCGCGTCTTTCTTTATCAATTGACGAACTTGATCAATTTCAGTGGCGTCGCGTTCCATGGCCTCCTCCATGCCGAGTAATTTCCTCCGACAAAATTCGACGTCGTTGGGAACGTGTTCAAGGAGCTTGCCATGTTGAGGCATGATGGCATCGCAGTCATTTTTCATGGCTATTTGTGCTTGAATTACTTGGTCAAAGTGTTCAATTTGTTTTTGTACGGTTTCGTTAAGGTCATTGAATCGTGTCGTGCCGCGCATTTGGCTAAGGTCAATTTGAACGCCTGGAACAAGTTGAGGCTGTTGGGATTGACCCATGAAACGACTACCCCCAAGCATATTGTTATTGGTTTGGCCTTGTGGTTGATTTTGAGCTGGTGCGCCGAAAAGAGAGGAGGTTTGCTGTGGTTGGGATTGAGTTTGAGTTTGAGTTTGTTGACTTGCGCCACTAAGCTAGTTAGTTGATGTATCATTATTTTTTCATCGCGATGGTCACTTACAAGAGACCTCCAGATGCTGCAGGTTTTGCTTGATTTAAATTTCCAAATAATCCACCTCCATTCTGCGCAGGTTGTGACGAGGCAGTACCACCAAATAATCCACCACCTGTATTTGCGCCAGCTGTCTGATTATTGGGTTGTGCTCCCCCAAGTCCACCACCTGTAGCTCCTTGAGTCTGATTATTGTTAGTCGCAGATCCGAATAGCCCGCCCGTTGCAGGAGCAGTCGTCGCGGCAGTCGTTGAACCAAATAATCCACCCCCAGTTGAAGCCGGTTGAGAAGTATTGGCGTTTCCGAACAATCCACCAGTCGCAGGTTGAGCAGGAGCGGCTCCGAACAATCCTCCAGTTGCCGGCGCAGAGGTTGCTGCTGCGGGAGCTGAGCCAAATAAACCACCTGTAGCAGGAGCAGCTGAAGTTGTTGAACCAAATAAACCACCAGATTGAGGAGCAGATGTAGTTGCAGGTGCGCCGAAAAGACCTGTCGAAGGCTTCGCAGCCTGTGTACTTCCAAACATTCCTCCTGATGATGGCTGTGTCGTTCCTGATCCGCTACTGGATAAAATGTTAGGATCGCTCTTTCTTTGTTTCGTTCAATGTTCTTTCTCTCTCCATGAAATCTTTCACAATGAATTATTTTGATAGCTTTCCCTTTGCTCCACAAAAAGCTTGGGCAATGAGTTGGTTGACACGACAAAATAAATAAACCTTTGAATTGGGCAATTCAATTGAATAATTAACTTACAATAAAGAATTGGCAGAATTGGTATTAATACTTAATCCACCTGGACCAGAAAAAGATCTAGTTAAAGCCATATTGGAATAATTCTCTCGTTGTGAATTTTCTTGGGGGAGAATATTTAGATAAAATCAAAGAATAATAAAAGAAAACTTTAATAATTTTCCAGGGCCATCTCGTCCTGAAACTAAAGCCTGAACGCGTCTAATATTCACTAAGACTAAGGCGGCCAGGCTGTTGTGTTACAGTACATACCATACCTATTTACCATAACTAGCTAGCTAGGTCGTATCGCGACAACTATCAATCCCAGAAGTTACAACACGGACTCTCAATACAACCTCAATAACCAAAATGGATATCGATGAAGATGATGATTTTTATGCGCCCGAAGAGAGTGCGCCGCTCTCTTTAAACCAAGTTGCTCCAACAGAAGCTGCGCAGCCTGAAGTCAAAGCCGAACAACAGGATGAAGATTTAGAGGAGGGTGAGGAGGAAGATGAGGACGAGGATAGTGATTCGGTATGATATGGTTACCTCGAAGCTCTGCTTAGCTTTTGCTGATATGGGTGCAGGACATAGATATTATCACAGAAAAGAAAGATGGTGCGCCGCCGTCGACAAAGCCTCAGTATGTTTTGCGCCCAGCTCGTAGTGCGCAGTATTAATGTGAAAATAGAGGCACCAAATATGATAAATTGCCCGGCAGTGATCTTCCAAGCCATACGAAATCCACGACCGAAGCAGATGAGAAAGCTTCCGCCGTGAAAACCGAAAAAACGAAGAAGGATTCCGAGACTCCAGCGATATCTGGTGCAGAATTACCTGGACTGGCGATATCAAAAATTGATGTAAATGCAAAGCCCATGTATGAGCCAGCCGGAAAACCAATCACACAAATCAATATCGATGAAGGTATTTAGTCCTCTTTTACCTCCCCCAAAATTATTCATGTAATTAATTTCAATCCGTTTAGATCTCAACGAAAACGACAAACCTTGGAGAAGACCTGGTACCGACATATCTGATTACTTCAACTACGGTTTCGATGAGTTTACCTGGGCTCTCTACGCCAACAAACAAGAATCATTGCGCTCAGAATTTGACCCCAATAAAATCGCACAGAATAATAAGAAAATGTTCGAGGATATGAATATGATGATGGCTATGGGTGGAATGCCAGGGATGCAAGCTGGAGGCGGTATGCCTGGGATGGAGGGAATGACACCAGAAATAATGCAGCAAATGCAACAGATGATGGCAGCAGGTGGAATGGATCCTAGCCAGATGGACCCCTCGATGTTTGGAGGCTCAAATTCGGCGGGAGGTGCGGGGGGATTTGGGGGAGGTCAATTTGGTGGTGGAGGGTTTGATCAAGGCATGATGGGTTCTGGAGGTGAAAATACTAATAGGGGAGGAGGTTTTGGAAGAGGTAGAGGTAGAAGAGGAAGAGGAAATTGGTAAAAATAATGATGTACCCCAGAGGTCATATCTCTAAGTTTGATGAGGCATTTTAGTCGGGCCCGAAGTATACCCAGAAATTGTAAAGCATAATCAACTTTGAAAAGGGGCTTGAAAGTCAAGCTTCCCTCGGAAGCGAACACGTGATGGTCAAGTGTGAACAGGTTTGTTTTTTGTTGGTCATTTACCAGTACTTTTTATGGCTTTTGAGAATGATGCTTTCAGTATTATGGTATCATGGTTGTAGATATGCAAGATTGCATGTCTAAAAGCTTTGTTTGCCATGACATCAAGTAATGGAATGAAGATCTCTCTTTGAGTCAAAGTAATTGTAATCTGCACTCTGTTGGTTCTCTTTACGGTCTGCTTTGTTGGCGTTTTGGAGTCATAATTTATTTTGGGGTATTTGATGTTGATAGTTGTATTCAATGTTGATAGTTGCTGCGCGCTAGAACGGAGAAACAAGCGCGGCTTGTTGTGGTAAAGGAATGTTGTAGTATTGATGTTCCAAGTTTGTAATTTCGATTTGCTGCTGTACCTCGTATTGTACAATGCCCTTGATCATTATGACCATCTCCCACTTTGTATACATGTAACAGTCGATGGTGGGTTCGCATTTCGAAGTCAACGACGATCCTTCCATTTACCGTCGAAACTTGCCGAGTGAGCATAAGCTAGGTATTGATGATAAACCTCTATGTGTTGGCGGAGACACAAGACTTCAGGTCTGTCATGTAGGCTGTCTGCAATTAGCAATGTAAAAATCGCAAAATCTGTAAAGCTGTTAGCATTGCTGCTACGTAGTTCAGTTGTGGAATCGGAACGGAGCATGTACGCCAGTATCAACTTCGGCGCACTTCCACCATAAGCCAGTGGCACAGCCATTCCTAATGCGCACTTAATGCCAGACGCGACTTTGAATTGCGAGGTATAACGTGTGCGCCGAGGGCCGTCGTTTGAAATTGACAATCGAGGCTTTCACCGTAGAGACCTAACGTTTATGCGTGTACTTTCCAACGTGGAGAGAAGCAGAAGATGGTATTGACCCCAAGTATGTGAGACACGCGAGTGGCCTTCCTTCTCGTTCTTCACAACCTCTTTTGAAGTACTGCCAATAACCGCGAAATATAAGAGGCCTTCGGCTGCCTTTGATAGTGATGTTCCGCCCCAAGCGTACACTCTTGCGGCAATCCCTTCCTCCCCAACCTACCTTACGTCTTCTTGTTTATTTTAGTAGTCGATAGGTCTCCTCAACAGCAGATAATATTGCTTTCGTAAATGTGTTCTTTTGATTGTTGAAGGTTGCAGTTGATTGGAAGAAAACACCAATTAGCAAATTCTATTGAGCCCAAAACGTCCCTGTTGACCAGCTCTGAAACATACTTGCCAAATTTCTTCATTGTATTGGGGGGTAATAGTTGATGCCAAATTCAATATTCTAATGATTGCTGATGCCAGATAGAAGACTTTGTGCTTGGGTTCTTGTAATTGAAATAATTGGTAGTGTTGTGTTCAACTGTTCTCAAAAGTTCTGGGAGTATTTTTGAGGTCTGCGATGCAGGCTAAGATCTACTGCCTGAGATTTATTGATCATCACAATCACGAATAATACCTTTTCGAGTGTGTTGAAGGTTAAAGACATTATATGATATTTTTCCTAATGGTTATTATAAGGTTGCCATGATTTACACCAATTGCAAAGAAAGTGCTTCATAGGTGTGGTGGTAAGCTTTTGGTCTATTGAGCACAAGAATGGTGTCTGTGAAGCAAAACTTAGTATATCATAACAATTGTACCTTGTTCTTGGTGCTCCGTCAGAGTTGGTTGCAAGTTTTGAAGGGTTTTGAGTTTTTGAGATGAAGTGGTGAAGTGGTGAAGTGTTGATCGAATCCGGAAAAGCATTGGTGCATACTCTCATACTTCAGACAAAACAAAGAGACACTCAGTCAAATAGAGGTATTTTGGTGAACTTGGTAGACTCAATTGGATATTCTAAGTCGCTACAGTTAGATTTCAATGACTAAAGAAGTTCTGGACAAATTAGTGAGCTCAGAGATGAAGTCAGCTCACAGGCTCAAGCTCAGGCTCGGGGTGGACAACATGGTCTCAAGCATTGCTTTGGTTAGAATAAAGGCATATTCACCCTCACAGGACACTCTTTCAAACTATGCACAGTTTATTCAATTCAATTGCTGGGTTTAACAAGAAGCTGAAATAGATAAAAGGGAAGTTACTGATCTAGAATTATCCTCATGAAGCAAATACAGAAGAATATGGGTTTAGATTGTAATATCTGCTCTCCCAATGCCTTCAATGGAAAGCAGAACCGTGTAAACAGATTATGTATATCCCACAAAGGGTCATTACAAGTGAGATATTACATATAATCCCTCCAGGAGGCCTATAATTAGACCGGGAGTATGCACCGCAGCGTGACCTGTAGCCCGCTCTCTTAAAGAGGCTTAGGACTGAAGTAAGATCCCTGCAAACTTCGAGGCTAGGCTTCTCTCGTAGATTTGAGCAGCTTACTGCCAATTATCTTCGCACAAATACTTTTTTTCTCTTGCTTCTTTCTACAACACCAACAACGAAACCATCAAAATACCAAAAACAATAGAAAATGGGCACAACGACCCTTAGAAGCATCAAAAAAGTAAGTTACCTTGATCAAATTTTACCTGTATCTCTTTCAAAATGCACTTGTGTCTGTTTAATCATAATTCGACAGCCCTGCCTGCAAAATCAGTATGAGAAGCATGGCTTTCGCACCAGTTGCGCAGCAGACGCCGAGATGATATTCTATCAGGTACCTCAAGCAATCACTGTTCAACTTAGAATAGTCCTATAGTCATCTTTGATAGCATGTTGCTGGCTTGAATTGATTTACGTACACCTCTAATTTGCCAGCAATTTACCTTTCGTGAAAGACCAAACTGACCAGATTATCCTCGCTGCCGACAGACTTAAAAATACAGTGAGTTCTATCCTTTGTGCCTCTTCTATCTTTATCCCGTACGATATTCCGACTACTTTAACAATTTTTGTCTCTTGCGAACAATATTTACAAACAGGTGAGCATCTTCCATTACTCCCAAGTTTGCGCAAACACCAAGCCTAGTCGTTGGCCTCTATCTTCTTCCATATGTGTACTTTCATTCTTGTTCTTATCTCAACTCTTTCTACATTCCTCTTCCCTGTGGATCACAGCGGTATTGTCTACAAAGTTCCAACAGTCGGCGGCATTCGTGCTCTACATGATGCTTTTTCATACTGTCGACCTCGTTTACGAGGAGGATTAAGCACCGCAGTTTGGGCGTTCTTCCGTGTTCCTTTATTTTATTATACCCTGGTTTTGTCAATGTAGTATGCCTCCGCTTCCATTGAGTATTACTGATTTTGAACTCCCCGCAGTCTCACCTCTTCAATCGGAACCTTAAGTGAATTTTGATAGTTGTACAACTAATCATGGTCTCCAGAAAGCACAAAAAAACATTGAATCCTAAAACAGCAACAAAAAAAAGTAAGTGGAAACTTCCTTACAATCTTCACCGGCCTATCTAACACAACAGAATGACTCCGTGCTAACTATTACCAGTGGCCCCTCGACTGGGGAAAC